ATTCATTAAGCACACTAGTAGGAATCTCAGTATAAGTGTGATGCTTCCTTGAAAAGTGCATCTTGCATTGCTACATCAAATGGGTACAAAAACTATGCATGTATGTATTTATGTTGTACGAAAAAGAGACCTATCAACTACTAGTATGGTAGAAAACTCCCTAGCTTCCTCTAATTGCATTGAAACAAATGACCCACTAAGGGCGCACTGAACACAAAAATGGGCAGCCCTATTACCTATTACAATTACGAGTTGTATGGGAAAATAAAATCTGTTTCAAAGACAAGAAAAGCAAAATCCAATGCCTCCAGAGGTCTTTTGCACCACATGTCCTGCTTCATATTAGATTTCAAGAATTGCATAATAATCTTGTTATCTCCCTCGATGATATTGTCCTTGTACTCAAAAATCCATGGTAAGTAAATGAATTGGAAGGATTTGATAGCCTGCATCTCAACCTGAGCGCTATCCAAATGTTGGAAGTGACATCCGGTAGCAATAATCCCATGAATCTCATCATGGATGATACACCTGGTACCAGCCATCCTTGATGGAAGGAGAGCACTGTCTATGTTCACTTTGAGCTGTCCGGGAGGGGGAGGATGCTAGAAAAAAAACTGAAGGAAGCAACCCCGAGGTTCGGCTAGCATCCCATTGCTCTTGAAATATAAAAAGTGGCTTTTTTGTGAGTGCTTCCAATATTGTTGATGCAAGAATAGTTGGCGTACCATACGGGAGGTTATTTTTTTTGGCATTGTGACCATGCAACCAATGATGAACAACATAACAAAAACAAAAAGCCTGTGCCAATTTGCATTTGGGTGTCTTCTTGAGCTCCTTAATCATAGTAAAGTTGTTAAAAATAGGTACTTCAATGCCCCATCTATCCATAACAGTTTTAACTCAGCACAACAATAGGCAATTAGTAGTAATATGATCCCTATCTTCAATAAACGGGCAGCCCCAAGGGCAGCTTTGAGAGTCAGCGATGCCCCTTCTAGCAAGCCAACAATGTGTGGGAATTGCATCATGTAACAAACGTCACCAGATAAATCTTTCTCTCGGGTGTAATTGCAGTCGATCAAGCCATTTCGAGTGATTATCAACTGGTGGAAAATTTAAATGATAATCAAGATTAGTGATGGTCCTTTCCAAATGTTTACGATTCAATTCATCAATGTCTTAAAGCAAGCTAGGCTCAATTTGGATTTGCAAAATTTTGTTCCCCATAATATTTCCGTTGCAGGCGTTAACATTCTGAGATTTTCATGCCAAAAGAGTGACACTTTCTTGAATATTGTATTTTGCATTAAAGAACAAACAAAAAGGTACGAAAAACAAAAAAAAAAAAGGTCCTAAGAACACTATCAAAGGGGGGCCTTGTTCTCTTGCAAGCAATAAAAAGAGGATCAAGCAAATTTACACTTGTCAAAACAAAATCATTTTCTATAGTCATCAAAGCACAAGTATGAGCAACTTTAATGTTGCTTCTGAAAGTGTGTCAGAATATAACTTATTTGAATCTGTGCAAAAAATTGAGATTTGGATTATTGGGAATGCTAGCTTGCCAAAGTCATTTGTTCAAAATATTTTTATAGTACTCTATGACATTGGCGTTGTCTTCTTCAATGATGATACCTCTACATTCTGTCATTCAATCTTCAATAAGGCTAGAGAGCGAATTAATAGCCTCCTTTTCCACTTGAGTGCAATCCCAATGAAGGAACCCACAACCCATAGCAACAATGAGGGTCCCAACTTCATCTCATATTACTATGTGTATGTGGCTCCATCAACATTTGCCTTTAGCCAGCTTGGAGGGGGGGGGGGGGCGGGGGGGTGCAGCCGGTTGCTAAAAGTTATAAGAAGTCGGCCCAAAAGGCTGGTTAACATCCCAGTGCTCCATGAGTGTCACACTTCCTTGAGTATTGCATATTGCATTAATCAAAAGAAAAAAATAACAAAACTATGCCCCTTGGGCTTTACGAGTATGCAACCTATCATTTTTTATAAAGGAAAAAAAAGTTTATTTGAGCTATTCACATCAAAAAGAAAAAAAAAAACTATCGTTCAAGGCTTTTTTAGCTCAAGAATTGGCAACCTTGTTAAAAATCGAGGAATAAAGTGAAAAATCACATGCTTAAAGACCGTGAGAAACGCTAAATCTGGACTGTACTGATGTTGCTACTCCAAAATTTGCGATCCAAGGGCCTTTGCAGGAAGCCTATGACATTACTATTATCACCTTCAACAATAATGCCACAGACTTCCACTAGCCATGGTTGGATCCAATGCTTGATGGCAAGAACCGCCTCCAATTCAACCACTTCTTACCCGCCACCATGAGGCACGTACTTGCCTCGTCTCGAATGACTATACCAAGGCCTGTTGAAGAGGAAGGGGTTGCTGCTACTAAGTCAAGGCAATCACCTCATTTCAACGAAAAATTAAATGAGACTCGACGAAAATATTTCAGCAAAAAACTAAATGAGACTCGACAAAAATATTTCACATACAACAAAGAGTTTTATGCCATTTTTAGAGCCCTAGAGCACTGAAGTCACTACCTACTGACAACCGAGTTCACTTTCTTCACGGATGATGAAACTTTAAAATTTTTAAACAATCTTAACAAATTAAGAGGGTGACACGTCACATGGGTAGAATTTTTAGCTTTCTTCTAGTTTTTCTCAATCACACGAGAAGAATTCTTTTCAGTTTGTGCTCAGAACCACGTCGCGGACTCTCTGAGCCGTTGTCACCTACTGATCACATCCATGCAGTGACATGGGGCTTGGTGACTGAACCGACCCCAACCGTTTCAGTTGGAGAGGGTTCAGCCCAGCTGAAGGCTGAACCAGTCCTCTCTTCCTCTTTTCATTAGGCCAGAATTATTCCCCCACCCCTCCCTATTCTTGCTTATTCATCTTCTATTTATATGTTCTCTATTTTAAAGTTATGTTTTGTGAGTTTGATTTTAAGTTTCTATTAAGGACAGTTGTTGGCGTCCTCTT